ACACATATACACACGTTGTTGAATTCTGTGGAAATTTTATTTAGTGACATTTGACACCTTTTGAATGCTTAAATAGCAACATGTAGTGACTTTTCAGGGTTTCTCTGGAAACTTCCTCCTCAGTGGAGTTGGCAATGCTGCTAGAGCCCCATGATGGAAGAAAGGAGCAAGAAGTAATAAATAAATAAAATAATCCAAGATTCTTTGTGGGCCAAAACCTGGTTCCACTGGAACCGTTTGAACCCCCCTTCCCACAGTCATGTTTCAGCCCCTAGATACTATAGTAAGATTATATATCAGACTCTAGGAAAGTAAAGGAATGTGGCATTGATTAGTTCTAGCCATTACTATAATATTACAAGTCTTCAATTTCAAATATGAGTAGGGGGACAGTTTTTTCAATGCAATTTAAGTATTACTACTATTTTTGATTATATCACCATTTTTACAGTGGAGGATTTCAATCATGTATTAATCTTCACGGAACCCTATGAAGCATGTATGCTACTACTTCACCAGCTACCTTCAAGACACCACTGACTTCCTGAGGAAACTTCAATCCATCGGTGATCTTCCTGATAACACCATCCTGGCCACTATGGATGTAGAAGCCCTCTACACCAACATTCCACACAAAGATGGACTACAAGCCGTCAAGAACACTATCCCCGATAATGTCACGGCTAACCTGGTGGCTGAACTTTGTGACTTTGTCCTTACCCATAACTATTTTACATTTGGGAACAATGTATACCTTCAGATCAGCGGCACTGCTATGGGTACCCGCATGGCCCCACAGTATGCCAACATTTTTATGGCTGATTTAGAACAACGCTTCCTCAGCTGTCATCCCTTAACGCCCCTACTCTACTTGCGCTATATTGATGACATCTTCATCATCTGGACCCATGGAAAAGAAGCCCTTGAGGAATTCCACCATGATTTCAACAATTTCCATCCCACCATCAACCTCAGCCTGGTCCAGTCCACACAAGAGATCCACTTCCTGGACACTACAGTGCTCATAAACAATGGTCACATAAACACCACCCTATACCGGAAACCTACTGACCGCTATTCCTACCTGCATGCCTCCAGCTTTCACCCTGACCACACCACACGATCCATCGTCTACAGCCAAGCTCTGCGATACAACCGCATTTGCTCCAACCCCTCAGACAGAGACAAACACCTACAAGATCTCTGTCAAGCTTTCTTACAACTACAATACCCACCTGCGGAAGTAAAGAAACAGATTGATAGAGCCAGAAGAGTTCCCAGAAGTTACCTACTACAGGACAGGCCTAACAAAGAAAATAACAGAACGCCACTAGCCGTCACCTTCAGCCCCCAACTAAAACCCCTCCAACGCATTATTAAGGATCTACAACCTATCCTAAAGGATGACCCAACACTCTCACAAATCTTGGGAGACAGGCCAGTCCTTGCCTACAGACAGCCCTGCAACCTGAAGCAAATACTCACCAACAACCACATACCACACAACAGAACCACTAACCCAGGAACTTATCCTTGCAACAAAGCCCGTTGCCAACTGTGCCCACATATCTATTCAGGGGACACCATCACAGGGCCTAATAACATCAGCCACACTATCAGAGGCTCGTTCACCTGCACATCCACCAATGTGATATATGCCATCATGTGCCAGCAATGCCCCTCTGCCATTTACATTGGTCAAACTGGACAGTCTCTACGTAAAAGAATAAATGGACACAAATCAGATGTCAAGAATTATAACATTCATAAACCAGTCGGAGAACACTTCAATCTCTCTGGTCACGCAATCACAGACATGAAGGTCGCTATCTTAAAACAAAAAAACTTCAAATCCAGACTCCAGCGAGAAACTGCTGAATTGGAATTCATTTGCAAATTGGATACTATTAATTTAGGCTTAAATAGAGACTGGGAGTGGCTAAGTCATTATGCAAGGTAGCCTATTTCCCCTTGTTTTTTCCTACCCCCCCCCCCCCAGATGTTCTGGTTTAACTTGGATTTAAACTTGGAGAGTGGTCAGTTTAGATGAGCTATTACCAGCAGGAGAGTGAGTTTGTGTGTGTATGGGGGTGGGGGGGGGGTGAGAAAACCTGGATTTGTGCTGGAAATGGCCCACCTTGGTTATCATGCACATTGTAGGGAGAGTGGTCACTTTGGATGAGCTATTACCAGCAGGATAGTGAGTTTGTGTGTGTGGTTTTTGGGAGGGAGGTGAGGGGGTGAGAGAACCTAGATTTGTGCAGGAAATGGCCCAACTTGATTATCATGCACATTGTGTAGAGAGTTGTCACTTTGGATGGGCTATCACCAGCAGGAGAGTGAATTTGTGTGGGGGGGTGGTGGGTGAGAAAACCTGGATTTGTGCTGGAAATGGCCCAACTTGATGATCACTTTAGATAAGCTATTACCAGCAGGACAGTGGGGTGGGAGGAGGTATTGTTTCATATTCTCTGTGTGTATATAAAGTCTGCTGCAGTTTCCACGGTATGCATCCGATGAAGTGAGCTGTAGCTCACGAAAGCTCATGCTCAAATAAATTGGTTAGTCGCTAAGGTGCCACAAGTACTCCTTTTCTTTTTGCGAATACAGACTAACACGGCTGTTACCCTGAAACCTGTTTTCATGAGTGAACATCGAGACACAGCAAGGTTGTCTGTGGAAGGTCTCCTGACTCCTAGTTCATACTCCAACCACAGGACCATCATTCAGCAAGATATCTATTGTACTTTTTAGCTTACGATGTAAATAATACATGGTTTGTTTACATGTTTACTGTCTATTTGCTTGTTGGGAGCATGTGCAAAGGAACAATTCTGATTATACAGCAAGGTCAAAATGATAGAAATTGTCACTAATTAGCTGCCCCAATTTTGAGGTCTGCAAGTTGAAGTCAATGGAGGCTCTCAGTTCTTAGCACTTCTGAAAATCAAGTACAAGGTGTCTCAATTTGGGCAACTCAAAAATTGACACAAAATTAGTGAACTTTTCTGCAAATTTGTTTTAGTTACTTTAACAAAATTTCTTAGAAGTACTCTATACATGAGTGAGAATTCCTAAGTCTAGTAGGAATGCACAATTCTGACATTTCTATTTAGATGTGTCTTTAGGGGGTTGACATTTGGGTATATTCAAAGACTATTGTCATGAGATTTGCAAATTTCATCTATAGCAATGTTTTGCTTCTTCTACCAGGCAGAACAGCTTGTTGCCAGGAAAATGTCAACATTCTTTTGGATAAAAATGTGTTTTTTGTAAATGTGCCCCAGGTTTTGCAAAGAAACCCCATTTTTGCAAAGAAAATTATCCTTTTGGACAAAAAGAAAGAAATGAGGGACTAAGGGGTTGGCACAAAAGTCAGCTGTCTATATTTTATCAGCCTTCAAAAACAGAAGAGAAAAAAATTATGGAATTACAGTGTTGATAGTTACACATTGTTGGCTACTATCTTCATTATTTTTGAACTACCTCATGAGGTAGCAAAAATAAATTACCTACACCAGTGGTTCTCAAAGCTGGTCCGCCGCTTGTTTAGGGAAAGCCGCTGGCCCGCGCCGCTTCCCGCAGCCCCCATTGGCCTGGAGCAGCGAACCGCAACCAGTGGGAGCCGTGATCAGCCAAACCTGCGGACGTCCACCAGGGGCTTTCCCTGAACAAGCGGCAGACCAGCTTTGAGAACCACTGACCTACACCACAATCCTCTCTTAAATGAGCCACAGCATGATCTCATAACACACTTGTGCAATGGCTGTGCAAAAAACCCCAAAACCACTAATATTCTTCCAAAACCCGAGAACTTTAAACTAGATTGCTCTCGCTCATAGATAAGGGATGAAAGCAGGGAATCATATCTTCTGCACATCTAATAGTTTCCCCTATAGATGCCCCATTGAAATAATTTGGGGGCAGCCCTACTCCTTCCAAAAAAAAAAAATGAGAAATTCTTTGCTCTCAGTGACCCCAGCAAGTTTAAAAGTAGTCTTCAGACTTGTGTCTATTTCTTGCTGATATTATTTACTCGGTGTTGACAGAATGGCTGGTGCTATAAATAGAAAAATAGACAGTCCCTGTTTCAGAAAGCTTACAATCTTTATTCGTAAGGAGAAAGGGTCATGGAGACCCAGTCCAAATTTAGAAATAAACAGTATAGATACATCATATAGATACATACAGATGAGAAATGACTGCCTAGAAAGTAGTACTGCAGAAAGGGATCTGGGAGTCACAGTGGATCACAAGCTAAATATGAGTCAACAATGTAAGGCTGTTGCAAAAAGCTAAAAGCAAACCTCATTCTGGGATGTGTTAGCAGGAATGTTGTAAGCAAGACATGAGAAGTAATTCTTCTGCTCTACTCCATGCTGATTTGGCCTCAACTAGAATATTGTGTCCAGTTCTGGGATCCACATTTCAGGAAAGATGTGGACAAACTGGAGAAAGTCCAGAGAACAAACATGATTAAACATCTAGAAAATATGACCTATGAGGGAAGATTGAAAAAGCTGGGTTTCTTTAGTTGGGAGAAGAGAAGACTGAGAGGGGACATAACTATTTTCAATTACATAAAAGGTTGTTACAAGGAGGAGGAGGGAGAAAAATTGTTCTCCTTAACCTTTGAGGATAGCACAAGAAGCAATGGGCTTAAATTGCAGCAATGGTAGTTTAGGTTGGACATTAGGAAAAACTTTCTGTCAGAGTGGTTAAGCACTGGAATACATTTCCTAGGGAGGTTGTGGAATCTCTGTCTAGCCTGCTCTTAAAATTCTCGAACGACTAACACCTGTCGGAAATGGTCTAGGTAATACTTAGTCCTGCCATGAGTGCAGGGGACTGGACTAGATGACCTCTTGAGGTCCCTTTCAGTCCTAGGATTCTATGATCATACCCAAGTAGAGGATTTAAATAAATTTGTGGTGCAGGGATTTTTATTTTGATAACTCTTTTGGAATGAATTATCCTTATTTTTTTAAAATGATTTTTAGGAGGGATTTGGAAGAAGAGAAAGTTTGGTGCAAAGAAGAGGGGAAAAGTTCCAACCACAAAAAGTGGCAAGGAAGAAGATGCGGAGACCAGATGGAAAGTGATGCATAGGAGGAACACAGGCCATGGAAAAGTGAGTTGGAGGAAGTGCAAGTAGATGTGCAAGCAGGAGGAAGATTGTTGAGGCAAAGATGAAAAGTTTGAACATGAAATTGATGTTGAGAAGCAAGTGAAGGATTCACAGCTGGGACAACTTGCTAGAGCAGTGGAGAAGGAATATTACTCAAAATGCTGCTGCTGAAACAGAACGGGGCAAAGTGAGAAACAGGACAGCCAGTTACAAACACTTTTATGAAGGCTGGCACACAACATGTCTGCACAGCCCTTCCAGAAGGCCACACTGCCATGCTCTAACATTCCTTTCAACTCTTTGTGGTTTTTCAGTTTTCCCCACACTCCTGGGTGGGAACACACACACACAAAGATTTTCAAAAAGTAGTGCTTACAATTAGACTCCTAAATCTATATTTAGACACTTAAATTGGCTTGATTTTTTTTTAATCACCCAGCAGTTCCTTTTGCAGATTTGCATGCCAGTAAGCTGAGAGGCATGCCACATGCTTTTTGGTTGAGCCCATTTATTGTTGGCTTTTGTTGCTTCTCTACCACATTACCCACAGCCAAAAGGAGGTACATGATATTCTTCTCTGTGCTACCGTACTGATGTATACAGATGGTCTCATAAGTTTTTTTTTTTTTTTTTTAACTACTGTTTACTTTTGAAAGATCTCATCCAGACTACTTTTTGCTGCTGGGCTTCAGCAATCTTTGGAGGGCCCCTATGGTAACATAACAGCTGTAAACCCACACTGAAGCTGTGGTTGTACCAGGCCGCCCTCCTTTTTGTCTCATTAGCTCAAATGACAGGTCTGTGTGGTGGAGCTATAGGCTGGTAACCCATGTGGGTGTTAATACAACTCCACCCAACAGAACTGTTTTTTAGGTTGTTTTTATAAAAAAAAATAGGAAATTACACATGAAATACTATGATAAAAGAACATTAAGATTGTAAATTCAAGCAGTTAAAAATTGGGAAATGCCAGAATTAAGGTCACCCATGTGAACTTAATTCAGCACCTGTGTGCATGTGAATTATGATACTCTTTAATTGCATACTTTTTCCCTGCCTGATCCCTGCCTCATTCAGTGCACAGGATGGAGCTGCTCTGGGGATGAAGCAGGGCTGTAGGATCCCTTCTTCCACTGCTGCAGAAATTGGAAGGTGTGTAGAGAATGAAGCAGAGGATTACAAGATGAGAAAGGACTGTCTCATAGAAGCCAGGCCAGGTTCTGCTGGAACCCTGCCTACAAGGCAAGTTTCCTTTGGAACCCTGTCTGATTTCCTAGCAGCTCATCCATCCAGCTCCTTGGCAATCTGCCTGCCAGCCTGCTGGGGAGCCCAACCTTCTGTGGTCTGCAGCAGCCCACCAGGCAGATTGTTCCAGAGTCAGGGACCACAGGGCTTCCAGGGTCTGTGGCTCTGGGCTAGTCCATTAGGTGACCTGCCCTGGAACTGGGGCTCCATTCCTTTTCTCTAGAAATTTTCAAAAATTGTTGGTCATTCTGAACCTAAGCTAAACCAAACTTTGAAATATTGAAATCCTTTGTAAAACGGAATTCTCTTTCTCTGCTAGACTCAACTTCAAAGATACAAAAGGGGAGTGTATAGGGGTTCCACTCACCATAGCTGCACCTCCTCGTGGCTGGGTCCGGGAATTAGTTTTTGCCCATCTGGTACGCCCATCTGGTACTCCCTTCTGCCAGTTGTTCATGCTGTACCTCCCTCCCCACTCCTCCGTGTGACTCAGGGTGCTCCCTTTTCATGACTTGGCCCCCCAGCCAAGTCACTATGTAGTCTCCTTCTGTTCCCCTTCCAGGATAACAAAATCCCACCCAAAAAGCTGTCCGTATGCCATCTCAGGCAGTCTTCTGTTTCAACTCCAGGTCCTATGCTGATATGGGAACTTGGCTTCACCCTCTATTCTGGGTCCCAGTCCAGGGACTCCGTGACTAGCAGCCTAGGTCTGCTCAGTCTCAGACCCCATTGTTTGCCTGGGCTCTTTCCAACCCCACCTCTCTATCTCTGTGTTTTCCTCTGGAACATCCTCCTCTCCCTTTGGTCCAGACTCCCCAGGGCTTCCTATTCCCCTAGATTGTCTCCTTCGTGCTGGCCAATTCCCTTTCCTTCTAGGGAGTGACTGCAAAACTCCTCTCTACAGCCCCTTCCTGCTCTTGCTTTCTAGCTTTATTACCTGCCCCCAAGGTGGGCTTCATCTGCCATTAGTACTTATCAAGCCCTGGCTTTCCTCCAGATGCAGCATATGAGGTTAATTCAACCTATCTGTCCCACATTAATATACTCAGGGCTTGTGTGGGGGTGGCCACCCCATCACAGGAAGAGCAGAAGCCTAGAGATTGGGCATATTTCTCCTTTTTATTTACAATGGAATTGTATCAGTATAACAGAGTATAATTGGGGCCATTAGTGTTCCCTTAGAAAAGATTTTAAGACAGTGAGAAGTATCTGTCAGAGATGGAATTATTTTGACTTAATCATTTATTTTTAAAGATGGGTCCCAGGATACGCAACTGGATTGTTAAAGGGGATAAGCTGATATGTTTTTATTTAACATGAAATTACTGAAAATCCTTCTTTTAAAAAAGACTCAAAGACAAAGTTATTGCTTCACACATTAGTAGATCAATATATCAGACTTTTGGCACAGCTTTTGAAGATAACTGGCATTCTCTACTTTTTTTGTAAAAATTAGTTACAAATCAAAGCTGTATATATGTGCTTCCTTACTATTTCTTATGTAGTATGTTATTGACAAGAATAAGGAAAGTATTCTTTAAAAATCACTAGACAGACACTAAGTATACTTATTAAAATAGGAATATATATTTTAAAAAGTAGGGTCATTATCTCCCCTTCTTACATAAGTAGTACTCGACTTCTCTTCAAAACTTGGTTCTAGAGGAATTCCTGTTGCAGTGCATTTCTCCCTTGGAAGCTGAGGGCTGTTGACAGTGCAGCCCAGGCTGGGGAGTGAGGCCATTCAACCACACATAAACCTGATGTCCATGGGAACAACCTGGCCTGACCTATGTGGAATTGGTTTCTGCAGGGCTCACACACCAGCACTGACAGCTGTGATTTTGCTATTAGCCCCCAACAGTGCTCATGCAACCCCTTGAAACTTATGTGGCCCCACCATAGTATGAAAGCTCCTCCCAAATATTTAAAAATAGAGTAATTATTTCTCACTTTCTCTTCCTTCCCAGTCTGGAGGAAAAATTAATTAGTTTGTATGTGTATAGAGTGGAAGAGACGTTCAGTGAAGATTAAGTCAAGCCTTTTTCTTTCTGGCTTGTGTTCATACATTATCCCCAGTAATGATGACTCTTCAGGCCAAATGCTGCGTGCACTTGCACCAGTGCCACCTTATTGCCTTCCAGTTGTTTACAGATGTATAACGGAGGGTACAATTTGAAAATAATGGGTTCACACAGATGTCCTGTAATTGGAATTCAACGATTCCATTCATGTTGCACAAACCAGAATATAATCCAGTTTCTTCTCCCACAGCTGTGATGGCTCAGCCGGGAAGACATTTAATGAACTCTTCCTTTTTTCACTGAAGTACACAGGGAATAGATTTGCCGAGTAAGAAGGTGCTATTTTTACACAGTCCCTTTTCAAATGAGACCTGCACTTTAAACACATTGAGCAATCTGAACTAAGCAGCCTGTCAAACATCACTCCTAAGGCTGCACAACAGTGCATGCAAGAAACTGTGCTTTAGGTCAGTTAAATAATTTAAAAGCTTCCCCCTTATCCATTTTGCTTTGGGCTAGCTGCAACATTTACTGGGAGCTGAGAACATTTCTTCATATTTCTCAGGCTAGCCATGCAGAAAGCATTTAGTTTGTTAGGTTTTACCAGTGTTTGGCAATATGCTTCTCTCTTTTTGCATACATGCAGTGTAGGGATTGTTGCAAAAATCTAGAATTATCTGCATACTGATGGAAATATTCCTTCTGTGTTTTTAAATCTCTCATATCCAGCCCTATTATTATAGTAACTCAACACCTCATAATCTTTAGTACATTTTCCCTCCAACACCCCTGAGAAGTAGGGGAGGTCTGTTTTCCTTAGCTCATTCCCCCATATATTTAAGCCTGTAGTGGATCAGGGAACCTGTAGTGGACCCTTGGACCAGCCTTCCTCTCCTGAACACAAAAAGATGTTGCAGGGTGCTGTTAGTGTACTTGTGTGTGACTAAAGGTTAGAACTCTCAGTAACTCCTCTTACAGCCTTTATCTTTCAGTCAGCGTAACAAAGTTTTAAAAGTCTATTAATATTTTTTGTTTACAATTTCAAAGAGTTGTGACGGGGTTGTGTGCAACTCCATGATTAAAGACATTTGTTTTCCCAACCAGTAGACAAGAGTTTGATTTTTTTGGCTAGAATATTTTTCACTTTCTTAACCTTACCACTGTGTAGTCTCGCTGAACGTTTACCAAGATTGTCTAGACCTGAAAAGAACTTTAGGGCTTTCGTCCAGTATGTGGTTCAGCAGGGACAGCATTAATAGTCAACTCATATTACATCCAGTTTGCATTTGTTGGTGTGGTCAGCCACTGTTTCTCAACTAGAGACTTCTGCACCATTAAGAAAGTGAACGTTTTTAGTGGCCAAATTGGATATATTGTGCTTGAGGCACAAAACAACAAAAACAACAGTTACTACTATATTTAGAAACACAAACACTTCCAAATAATGTGAACAAACCCACCAGGGGCTGTAACCTCCCCTTCCAACAGATTCCTTGACAACACTTTGGGCACCAGGAGAAATGTGAAAGTAAGGTTATGGCTACACTGCACTTAGAGATGAGATTGCAACATATCTGGACATACTTCAGCTAACTTCTAGCTAGTGTGAATATCAACAGCAGTAAAGTTGCGACAACGCTCACTTCAGTACAGGCTCCACAAGCTTGTCCAGAACCTTAGGTAATTGCTTGGGCGGATGACCTGCACTTAGGTATGTCTACATGTGTTGCAATCACACCTCCACTTGCAGTGGAGACATAACCCAAATGCTTAAAAATACAAAATAGGATTTAGAGCTACCTTGTACTTTTCTACCACACCCTTCTCCCCAGTCGAGGAAAATATTTGAAATGAAGACTTCAATCCTACAAACACTTAAGCATGAGCTTCACTTTAACCACGTGAGTCATCTTATTGACTTTGATGGGACTATTTGCATGGTTAAAGTTAAGCACATGCAGAACTGTTTAAAGGACAAAGGTCTAGGAGTTTAGTTATGAACATAGCCTCTTTTAGGTTACTCTTTAAACCTGCGGAAATCTTAGCGATTGTGCCTTTGCGGGACTATGATCAGCTGTGATGGATCAGCTCAAATATGATCTTACTGCAAATTTATATAATTTTATGCTATATATTTTAAAGGTAAATTAACCAGAGAGGTTAAAGATGCTGTTGATTCAATAACTATGTAGCAAAGGTTAGCTAAGTAAGTTGTCTAACAAATTAACAAAGATCATACGCAGAACAGAGAACATCAGTGGAAGCTGGTTTCTTAAGTCTTGTTACAGCTACAACTTATAATTGTGTGTTAAAAATACACTGAACACAAATAAAAATGTGGGCCACTTAGCAAAAGTGAGATAAAGGTAGAGAACTCCTGGAAGGCTCAAGTTGACAGCAGATACACTAAAGGGCAGTTAAAAAACAAATAAACAAACCAAATGAACTACCAACAGAAAGTGGGTGGGTAGTGTTGGCTTTCATAACTAAAAAACCACAAAAACAAAAACCAGCTCAGAAATAAAAGCTAAAAACATTTATGTCAGAACTTGAACTAACAATACACAGATATGGTGGCATATAGCTGTCTTATTTTTCTAATATGGTTTGCAGTATAGGGATGTTTTTCTCAATTACACATTATTTATCTTATGGCAGCATTCATGGAGATTATACAAAAATGTTGTTAGACCTAATTTCTTGCTCAAAGAGTTTGCAAGCTAGAGACAAGGCACAATAGATTAATCATAGGAGGGCTTTTGGATGCTACTACAACATAAATACTAATTACACATGAAAAAAATTACATTTAAAGTATGTTAAGGTTGCAAAGTCAAGCACTTCAGGTAGGAAACGCCAGACTTAAGGTTGCCTATGGAACTTTAGTTTACCCCCCCCCCTTTATGCTTATGCACAATGATACAGTCTATAATTACATGATCACATGAGATTTTTTTCCACAGGACCCTGCCTCATTCAGTGCACAGGTGCTCACTGGATGAATAGGTATTCAACAATTCATTTTATCCTCATTGTTCAACGTGTGGTCCCATGCCTTATTTACCGTATACTACTCAAACTCTGCTCTGAAGACAGAATTATTCATCTTCTTATAGGCTTTTCTATGCTGCTCCCTAAGCACGTGTCATAAATATAAAGGGAAGGGTAACAACCTTCCTGTATACAGTACTATAAAATCCCTCCTCTCCAGAGGCACAAAATCCTTTTACCTGTAAAGGGTTAAGAAGCTCAGGTAACCTGGCTGGCACCTGACCAAAAGGACCAATAAGGGGACAAGATATTTCCAAATCTGACGGGGGGAAGATTTTGGTCTGTCTGTTGTGTGTGCTTGCCGGACACAGATCAAGGAAGCAAGCAATCCAACTCCATTAGAATCAGTAAGTACTAGCAACGGAATGTGTTAGCTTATTTTTGTTTTGGCTTGTGATTTTCTCTGTGCTGAGAAGAAGGTGTATTCCTGGTTTTCTTTTTGTAACTTTAAAGTTTGGCCTAGAGGGAAATCCTCTGTGTTTTGAATCTGATTGTCCTGTAAAATTACTTTCCATCCTGATTTTACAGAGGTGCTTCTTTTACTTTTTTTCCCCCTTTATAATAAAGTTCTGTTTTTTAAGAATCTGATTGGGTTTTTAGTGTCCTACAATCCCAAGGGTCTGGTTTGTGCTCACCTTGTTTATTTTTCAAGCCTCCCCAGGATATTTTGTGGGAATAGGAACTCCAAGTGTTCCTTTCCCTAAATCACTTAGTGGTGACAGCATACCTCAGTCCAAGGACAAATAGAGATTTGTGCCTTGGGGAAGTTTTTAACCTAAGCTGGTAGAAATAAGCTTAGGGGGTCTTTCATGCGGGTCCCCACATCTGTACCCTAGAGTTCAGAGTAGGGAGGGAACCCTGAGAACTTAACAAAACATGAATTTATTTTCATAACACCAGTGGGGGCCCCCCGAAAAAATGGGTGCCCCCATGCTCTGACCTGCTCTGCCTGCCTGGCACTTCTGCCAAGGAGTAGTGGAAGCAACAGCACCACGACCCCGCTCCCCAGCAGGAACGCCATTTCCTGGGCAGGAGTGTGAGTGGTAGGGCAGGGGGACTGCAGGCAAAAGGGGTGGGGAGGGGCCCTCACTTGCTCTGGCTCAGGGCCCAACAAAAGCTTAATCCGCCTCTGCATAACACCCATGTATGATGAGTGGGTATATCCTCATTTTACAGATGGGGGACTGAGACAAAAATTAAGATAAAAAGGATCCACTAAGTTTGGGCTCTCCAATCTGAGACATATTTGCTGCGGATAATACTCAACTGTTCTTCCAGTCAGACCCCAAGGCCTTGAGTTTTCTGGGTTTCTGACAAGCATTGACCACCTAAGAAAAATTTGGGTGATTTGATTTGCCCTGCATCACAGAGGATGATTTGTGGCAGAGGCACAGATGGAATCCAATTCTCCAGGGCAGCATTCAACCGCTTTCTTGCAATCCTCTGGCTCACGCACTACTCACTTTCCAACTTCTGCAGAAAATAGGGCAGGGATCCTATAGACAAAAATCATTGTTACTGTACAGTCTTGATTTATCCACAAAGCAGATCGATCCTGTTCACTGAATGAGGAAAGGAACCTATGGAATAAATATTATGTGTTCATGAAATTAAGAGACTATCATAATGCATACACAGAAGGCAACCTTAATTTTGTCATTTCCCAACTTGAGTACTTGAATTTGCAATCTTAATCTTGTCTCTTAACATAGTATTTGATGTGAAGTTTCCTAGGTTTTTATAAAAGCAAACTGAACCCACCCCCAGAAATTCCAGAATGTGGTATTAATATCCACATGGGCCAGCAGCAGGCTTGGGACCTTTAATCCATCACACAGACCTCTGCCACTTGAACTAATGGAGTGTCTGATAGTAGTAGAATGTTGACATCCTCTGCGTGGACGAGCCACTAGAAGAGAATGAGACAAACACTTTGACTGGTGGGTTTGCATCTATTAGTTGACAACAGACAAATGGTGAGACTCAGGAATTTTGGGATTCGTTGAAGGTTCTGGAGACAAGTATATCTAATAGTCACAGGTCCCTTCGCCTGTGTCCTGTCTGGCCTGTCCTTGTCACAGTTCTCTCTCTCCACCTTTGCTTCCATCTCCTCATCCCAGCCTCTGTTTTTTCGCTCAGCCAGTCCCAGTCTCCCCTTCCCTCCCCTGCTCCCAGTCTTCTCTTCCCCCACCGCCAGCTCCCTGTTTTCCCCAGCTAGGCTCCTTGTCCCAGTGTACTCCCCCTGCTGCTGCTGGATCTGTCTCTTGTCCTCCATACTACCTAGGCACCAGGAAGGGGACATTGACAGCACAGAGCAAACAGTCTCCCTGCTCTCTGGTTTGGTGACTAGTGCCACAGTTGTCTGTCGCAGCTAGGAAGATCAAATGCAGGCAAATTCCTACTCAGGTCCTGTAGTACTGGGCTGCAGCATGCTCAGTTTCTCTGCTGTAATGATGCATATGAAATCTGGTCACAAGTAGGAGCTGTGAGGGGATGGAGCCTGCTCAGTGAAAATGGAATCTTCAGAGAATTTAGCTGCCAGACACTAACAAGTCTCTACTGAACACATACAGATTTGTTAACTGGAGCAATGGCGTAAAACTTGGCCAAATTTGGACATTATTTTTACAGAGCAGCAAATTTCAAGTCCCTGCTCCTAAGCACAGAGGCACTAGAGCTTCTCAACCAAATCATTTGTAAGATTTTTTTAAAAGTGTCAAAAGAAAGTATTTACCTTTACTTGTTCTCAGAAATGCTGAACCATTACTGCTGACACTTTTGAAACAAATTCAGCCTGAGACAAGTGTTTTATCTCTGTAAATGGCATTGGGTGAGACAGATACTGCACTATTATGTCCAGTTGTGGTGTTCACATTTTTAAAAAAGGAGACTGAAAAATTGGAGACGGTTCAGAGAAGAGCCCAAAAATGATCAGAGGGGCGGAGAAAATGCTTTACAGTGAGATTTACAGAGCTCAATCTGTTTGATTTATCCACACACAAA